CACTGAGCCACAGGCGCTGCTTAGCTTTCTATACTAAATGGTATGGAATAGAAAATAAACAGAAAAGGCCCCATATCTTTCTGCCCATAAACCCCACTGATTCTTTTAAAAATTCAAGCAGGGCTCAGTGCGTATAGCTCAGTGGCTAGGGTGCCAGCCACGTACACCAGAGCTGGCGAGTTCCAATCCAGCCCAGGCCTGCCAAACAACGACAACTACAATCAACTATTTAGCTGGGCATTGTGGTGGACACCTATAGTCCCAGCTACTTGGGAGGCTGAGGCAGAAGAATCACTTAAGCCCAAGAGTTTGAGGTTGCTATGAGCTGTGATGTCATGGCACTCTACACAGGGTGACGTAGTGAGACTCTGTCTCAAAAAATAAATAAATAAATAAACTAAAATTTAAGCAGGCTCAGCACTCATAGCTCAGTGTTTAGGATACCAGACACATATACCGAGGCTGGCAGGTGTTGGTGCCTACAGTCTTACTACTTGGGAGGCTGAGGCAAGAGGATCACTTGAGCCGAGGAGTTTGAGGTTGCTGTGAGCTTTGACACCAGAGCATTCTACCCAGGATGACAGAATGAGACTCTGTTTCCAAAAAATAATAAAAATACATAAATAAAAATTCAAGCAATTTATCTATAAAGCTAAATATTCAAACTATAGAAGGAAACAAACTAAAAAGGAAAATTCTCCTTCCCAGAGTCACAATATGGTACAACTCCAGGAGGCATCATTGGTATTGAAGTTGTACAACACAGCAGCCCTGCCCTGTCCTCAATTCCTTTTTCCTGAGGAACCTATGTTAACAGTTTAAAGTAATTTTTTTTTTTTGCAGTTTTTGGCCAGGGCCGGGTTTGAACCCACCACCTCCAGTGTGGGACTGACACCCTAGTCCTTTGAGCCACAGGCTCCACCCAGTTTAAAGTAATTTTTAAAGTTATTTTTAAAAATAAATATCTTCAGAACAAAGAGGTGTAGATTCTAAAGTATGAGGTATGGCAATTAGATTAAGAAGGACTTCCCAGTACAAAAGAAGTCACAAAAAGGCCTGCAGGAAAAGCACTCTGAATGGAGGGGCAGGGACTGCACCAGGCAGGAGCACAGTGACACTTTCAACCAGTTCGTTACAAGAGACCTGGGCATGGGGTGAGTGAGTGAGGCAGAGAAAGAGTAAATGAGTAAAGCGGGGACGGCTGCTCCCTTGCTCTGATAGGGGGGCAGCAAGGGTGGTTTGGGTCCCACTGATCCAAACTGGCTAGTTCCACCTGGATGGCTGGGAGTTCCTGCCATGCCTGGGGAGTTTTACAGGCTTGACTCAAGGCAGCTCTGGCCGGTGAGAGCTGGAGACACTGGTAGGATGGCTGATTAGTTTCTGGATTATGGGCAGAGCAGCCCCTGAATGCCTCATGTGCCTCTGCCCACTGCAGGCTTCCAGGATGTGCACGTCATGGTCTTTGTGGGCTTCGGCTTCCTCATGGCCTTCCTGCAGCGCTACGGCTTCAGCAGCGTGGGGTTCACCTTCCTCCTGGCCGCCTTTGCCCTGCAGTGGTCCACGCTGGTTCAGGGCTTTCTCCATGCCTTCCACAGTGGGCATATCCATGTTGGCATGGAGAGGTAAGCATCAGCAGCCTCCCAGAGTCCCCCAGGCCCCCTTGGGAGGCCTCTGCCTGAGAGACCCTCTCAAGCCCTGTCCTTGGCTCCTGAGCCACGTTTGACTCATCAGCTGACTTCTCTAGGTCCCTGGTCTTCTCACCCAGTTTCTTTGGCCCACATGCCAGCCCCAAGCCTCATTCTCTAGGGCCCCTGTTACCTGAGAGCTGGGAAGGGCAAGGTTTCTAAAAGCTTTTGCTTAAGTTTTGGTTCTTCCACCAACTGTGGGCTTGGTCAGCCAAGTCACAGAACCTTCTCGAGACCAGCTTCCTCTTCTACAAACAGGGCCAAGTGATCCTTCCGACTTCCAGGGAAGGGCTTGGGCTCCCTTCCTCCTCTCTGGATCTATGCCCCTGCCCTGCTCATGTTGCCTCCAGCTCATGCCTGGCAGAAGCCCAGAAGCCACCTCTCTTCTCCTCTCCCCTCCCTGCCCTCTCACTCTCCATTCTGCCCCCTTAGCATGATCAACGCTGATTTCTGTGCGGGGGCCGTGCTCATCTCCTTGGGTGCCGTCCTGGGCAAGACTGGGCCTGCGCCGCTGCTGTTTGCCACCCTGCTGGAGGTGGTGCTGTTTGGCATCAATGAGTTTGTGCTCCTCCGTGTCCTGGGGGTATGGCGGGTCTGGACAGGGCTGGGAGGGGCTGTGTCAGGGCCAGGCTGGGGCTGCCTTCCACTTCAGCTTCACCTCTCCCAGGTGAAGGATGCAGGAGGCTCCATGACCATCCACACTTTTGGCGCCTACTTCGGGCTGGCCCTGTCCCGGGTTCTCTACAGGCCCCAGCTGGAGAAGAGCAGGCACCGCCAGGGCTCTGTCTACCACTCGGACCTCTTCGCCATGATTGGTGAGGCCTTCAAGGTGGCAGCACGGGTACCGGAGAGGGTTGTCTTTTGGGATGCTGCCAGCAGGCCTTAGGGGACTGAATCCCTCAGGGGACTCAGAGTCCCACTGGACTCTGCTGTGAGGGGTCTGGGATCCTGCTCTTCATCCCAACAGTTTCAGGAAAGCCTCTTAGAACTTAGCCCTGAGGGTGGCGCCTGTGGCTCAAGGAGTAGAGCACCGGCCCCATATGCTGAGGGTGGCGGGTTCAAACCCAGCCCCGGCCAAAATAAAATAAATAAAAGCATTAAAAAAAAAAAAAAAAGAACTTAGCCCTGGATCCGTTCCCAGGGTCCTTTCTAAATCTATTTTAATATCTGCTTAAAACCTTCCAGAACCCTGTACCCTACATATCAGAAACCTAGCCCCTGCTGGCAGGTTTAAACCCGGCCCAATCCAGCTAAACAACAATGACAACTGCAACAAAAAATAGCCAGGGATTGTGCTGGGTACCTGTAGTCCCAGCTATTTGGGAAGCTGAGGCAAGAGAATCGCTTAAACCCAAGAGTTTGAGGTTGCTGTGAGCTGTGACTCCACAGCACTCTACCAAGGGCAACATAGTGAGACTCTGTCTCAAAAAAAAGAAAAGAAAAGAAACCCCCTAGCCCTTGTAGGTCTAGGCGCCCTCCCTCTCCTCCTTATCCACTCTCCCCTCACTCTGGTCTCAGCCAGACCTGGCTACTCCCTGCCCCTGGCCTCCAGGCCTTTGCTCATTTGGTTCCCTGCAAACAGATGACCTCTGCCTGCCTGCCTCTGTGGCTGCCTTCTACCTTGCAAGGACACTTCCTCCCAGCTGATTCCCCAGAAAGCTCCTGCATTCTCAGGCACGGGGTTGGGATGTCAGTCTGGGTCACCTTGCAAAGCAGTAGAAGCCTGGTCACTACCTGTTTCTCTAAGCAGGTGTCTCCACCTTAGCTTTTTTTTTTTTTTTT